CCAGGAGGGAGTTGCAGTAGTCTAGGCGTGAGATGACGAGAGCCTGGACCAGAACCTGAGTCGCTTTCTGAGTCAGCTGGGGACGTATCTTCCTGATGTTGTAAAGCATGTATCTGCAGCAGCGGGTTGTAGCAGCGATGTTTGCAGTGAAGGACAGGTTGTTATCTAGGGTCACACCCAGATTCCTTGCAGTCTGAGTCGGGGAAACAACTGAGGTGCCGATGTTGATTGTCAGGTCAAGAGTTGGACAATCTTTTCCCGGGAGGAAGAGCAGCTCAGTCTTGTCAAGGTTGAGCTTGAGGTGGTGAGCAGACATCCACTGAGAGATGTCAGCTAGACAAGCAGAGATGCGTGCGACGACCTGGGTCTCTGAGCGGGGAAAGGACAGAATTAATTGGGTGTCGTCAGCGTAGCAGTGGTAAGAAAAACCATGCGGGCTAATGACTGATCCGAGCGAGTTTGTGTACAAGGAGAAGAGGAGGGGACCAAGAACAGAGCCCTGAGGGACCCCCGTAGTTAATTGACAAGGGTCGGACTCAGACCCTCTCCAAGTCACCCTGTAGGTACGGTCTTTCAGGTATGAGGTGAGGAGGGAAAGTGCAGAGCCTGAAACTCCAAGTTTTTGGAGAGTGCGAAGATTATAAAAATAAATGCCTTTAAAATAGGATGCAAGCAACACTAGTTTCTTAACCTGAATTGATAATAGACTATAATCAATTTAAGTTTGCATTCTTATACCATTTTGTACAATAATTATAATGAAGAGTTCAAACAAACTAAAACTTACAGCTGATTAATAACGGTATCTAACTTGAGTTTTTATTATATCAAAAACCTGTTGAAATGTTACTGTTATTTTTACTGTCCCCCAAAAAGCGCATCGGCAGCCTCCAGGAATGCTTCTTTCACAACTTCGCAGTCTTTGAAAGATAAGATGCTCTGGTAGCAGCCTTGCTCTTGTTGTTGGGCCTGGTGAAAATGGACTGCTGTGCATTTAGCTGTGCTCTCAGGCCCCTCCCCTTTTGGGAGCGTAGGGCAGAATTAGGAGGGAATTCCGTCTCGTAGCGTTTGTGCACTGTTTTGAAATGCCGCTCCTAAATTACCCTTCTTCGATAAAGCTACGCTCGCATTGCAGATGAGACAGATGGACTTTGAATTGGAATAGATACAAAAATAATCATCCTCCCACTCGGAGTGAAAATTATATATGTTTTGCTTCTGCCATAATTGCGGTCTTGTTTGTGTGCGGACTGTCACTCCTGTTGATACGGACAACGTTAGCGAATTAGTGCACTGCCCACTAGCCACGCCCCGACACATGTGGTCAGGGCGGCCAATCACAAAGCTTTGATGCGTTCAAGTGCATTATTCTGGCACAGGAAGATTATGTTATAGGACATTAACGATAAAACAGAATATTGTTGTTCTATTTTTAGACACATCTCGCGATCGACTGGGAATCTCCCCGCGATCGACCGGTCGATCGCGATCGACTGGTTGGGCACCCCTGCTCTACCGCCACAGTGAGCTTCACACTGGAAACACTGCCCTGTCTCTGTTGAAATCCATTCACGAGAACAACTTGGAGGAAACGTTTGCTGAGACTGTTATTTTGGTCAAAATAATAGTGACAACTCCGATGACGACATCCGAGTCAGAAAGGAACTTTTCCACCCTCAAAAGGATAAAGACTTTCACTCGCAACACCATGGGACAGCCGCGACTTAACGCATTGGCCATGCATTCAATTGAAAGCCAGTTGATCCAGCAACTACAGGACTTCATCCCCAAAGTGATAGACACATTCTGTCAGAGGAAGGACCGCCGTGCCGCTTTTCTTTTCAAGTGAGCCTTCAGCTTTGGTAAGTTCATTTATGTCATATATTTTGTTGATCTTCTGTATTTTGCCTCTGCTGGATCGATTGATATTGTGACCTCGATGATGAGTGTCTGTGTTTTCCTTATATTTAAAGTCTATGGTGTTTTAATGCTAAAGCATTACGGTTGTTGTTATTGTTAAGAATTACTTTGTGATGGTGACCTTTACTCCATGTATGAAGGTGCATTACTATGACATCCCCACGCTGTGTACGTAAATGTATGCGCTCACAGTGTTGCTCCTGTGGTCTTCAGTATGTCATTTGACACTCCCCCTCTCTCTCTCCTCCCCCCCCTCTCTCTGTCCCCCCTCTCTCTCTCTCCTCCCTCTCTCTGTCCCCCCCCCCTCTCTCTCTCTCTCTCTCTCCCCCGACCTCTTTCTGCCCCCCCAGTTTTGTACACCTAGAAACGCCACTGGATAGGTGTGTGGGTTGTCTTTCATTTTGACACGCAGAAAAATGTTATAATAAACATAGATACTGTAGGCTATGTTAAATGGATATATCCGCCTTCTTTCATTTATCTTTCCATTCCCACAACAATATACATAAATAAATGGCATATTTTGGACATAGTTCGAATGGTGATTAATCATGATGAATTAATTTTTAAGCTGTGATTAATCTGATTAAAAAATGTAATCGTTTGACAGCCCTAATTTCAACACAAAAAGTGAAAACTCTTAATCACATTAACAGTAAAAATCTTGAAATTGTAGCTCTGACAACTACAGTAAGTGTGCCTTTACTGTTGTATGAAGACAAGCTTGTCATCCTGTAAATGTTTCTAAAAGCCCCGGGCTCAGTCGATGTTCTAATACTAACATTATTATTTTGTGCGAAGCTTGCAGTTCATGCAACATTATTAAAATCGTCATTAAACTGGGGAAAAAAATGTAAAATAAATGAGAATCGTATCTGTGTTGTTAATCTGTAATATTAGAGTGTTACGTTGATTTGTTTGTCCTTCTCGGACCATGCACTACGCATTTCAGTGGTTTTGTGTTAGAAAAGAAAACAACCAATCAGATCTTGTTCTGGGTCTCTGGGTAGAATATCCTTCAATCAAGGTAGTAGGCTTGTTTGAGACACATTGCAGGCTCGCCTCGAAAGTAGACGAGAGTAGCCGATCGCAGCCGGGGGAGGTGTCAAAAAGCTCGTCTTAAGTCGGACAGCTCGGAGTCGGAGTCGGCTTGACTGGCTGGGTTTGCAATGGTGGAAATTGCGTTGGTGTTTTTCGTTGCAGATGAAGTGGATGCAATAGAAATCCCACATGTATTGTATGGAGAATGGTATGATGAACACCGTCTGCGGAGGTAATTACGTATCTTTTTATTTTTTTATTTGATAGGGACAGAGCATGTTAATGAACATCAGTATAAAATACAAGAATTATAAATGTGTTTGAGCAAACGTGCTAATTTACATCCGTAGTAGGCTACCTAGGCAGGTAACAAAAACAGATACACAATACAATACACAAGTAAAAAGACAAAATATATTGTTGCATCAGTCTAGATTAAAAAGTATGATCGATTATCCGGACTGATTACTTTACTCTACAGATCACAAATTGTGCAAAATTATGACACTATTAGTCTTTTTTAGTCCAATGGGATAAGATAACAGCTACTTTACTAAAGATATAGAAAGCAAGCAAGATAGTAGTACAAAGATACAATAAATAAACAAGAATACAACTGAAATCAAGTGAAGATAATATAGGCCTACAGCAGCAGCAGCAGTTATATATATATAAAGAATGTTGAATAGGTCTAATGATTTATGGTCATCATTTGCTCCTGTGTCTGCCTTCCTTAGATCCGTTCCAAAGGTCCAACAATTTGTGAAAGAAGTGGTCCCACAGTACAGTCCTTCAGACTTCAAAAGTCATTTCCGATTGTCCAGGGGACATGTGGAAGTATGTGTGTGTATATATATATATATATATATATATATATATATATATATAAATAACATCAAATATGTATTATCTGGACTGGTGATATTAAAAGCCATTTATTCCTTTCTACCAAACAGGATGTGATGACGACTATTGGCCCGTTCTACTGGAACAGACAGCACAGTAAAGTGCCGCTTCAAAACAGTGTTCTTGCCTGTCTGTGGACTCTATCAAACCAGGAGTCCTATAGGGGGGTTGCTGATCGTTTCAATATCACCAAATCCACTGTCTGCCTGCATCTCCATGAATTCTGTAGTCTTGTCACCACATATTTGTCTCACCACATTTCCTGGCCCACAGGGCAAGCCCTACATAATTCTGAGTTAGGATTTCGTGCAGCAGGATTTCCCAACACTGTCTGTGCGGTAGATGGATGCCACATTCCTATTGTGAAACCACACTGTGAGAACCCAGTAGCATACATCAACAGAAAACAGTTTTATTCTGTTGTGCTTACTGGGTTCTGTGACAGTAAACGGAGATTCTGTCATGTTAATGTGGGCCACCCTGGTAGCTGGCATGATGCACGGGCATTCCGGTTGTCTGCTGTTGGAAGGCTGCTTGATGAAGATCCCCAGTCCCTGGTGCCTGAGGGAATGCACATCATTGAGGACTCTGCCTACCCACTATTGCCTCAGCTTATGAGGCCATACAGGGACAATGGCCATTTAACTGCTCGGCAGCGTTGTTTCAATCAAAAATTAAATGTTGCACGCGTGGTCATTGAGCATACCTTTGGCCTACTGAAAACGAAGTTCAGGAGGCTCAAATGTTTGTACATGAAAAACATTGCAAACATTAGCACAGCAGTCACTGCCTGTTGCATACTTCACAACATGTGCTTGGAGGAAGGGGAAGCAATTGAAGTTGATGAGCAGGTTGAAGCAGCAGATAACAGGGCACCGCATCCCCAGAACCAAGATGCAGTGTTGCACAGAAATCAGATTTGTGACCTTTTTTAAAGAGCTCACACACACACACACACCCCCCCCCCCCCCCCCCCCCCCACACACAAATAACCACTGTCATATTCTTTGTGGAAGACATTTATTTTTTATTTCCTTTCCTTTTATGCCCACAGTATTGAGTATGTAAGTCGCTTTGGATTAAAGCGCCTAACAAGTAACATGTAATGTCATCCAAAATGATTGGGCAAGTAAAAAATAAATGTATATATATGAAAACTAGATATGGTCATTTTCTGCACATGTCAATAGCAGTTGACTATCTTCTTTGAAAATGAAATAACTATATATACATATGTACACATGTACTTGGCAAATAAATAATAATTGCATATAAACATTGTGAACACTTAGTGTATACAAATACAAATATTACAAGGCAATTGCCAGGGATGAAATAATAACTCAACTGCATAACGAGGAAAATAAATAACTAATCTAAACAATATTACTTCCATAAACAAACTGAGGTGGTGTTCTTTATAAACAAATTAATTCAGGGAATACCCAGTGTGGGGGAAATTATGGCATATTGGGCTTGTCTTGCAAAAGCTCAATGATGCGCTCTTGTTGGCTCCCAATGGACTTTAACTGGGAAACAACTTCTCCCATCGCAGTCAACATTTTAGCTTCAAACCTCCTCCTATTTCTCTCCTTCAGCCTTCTCCGGCGCTCCTGTTCTGGCCGCACCAGTGTCTCCAGTGCACTGGTCCTCCTCTCCGAGTGGGCCTCATACAGGTCGTAGAAGGAGGGATGGGAGACTCGAGACCGGATTGATCTCGGCTGAGTGGTGGGCAGGGTCATGGAGGGACCAGGCTGGGCCTCAGAGGCACACGGCAGTGTGGTGGATGGTTGTGAGGCAGTGGGTAATAGAGGGGTGGAAACAAGAGTGCCTGGAGGTGCGCTCCCAACACCGCACCTCCCAAACAGGTTGTCCATTATCTGTGGAATTGCAGAATTGTTAAAATGGAAATGTTGCTTTTACCAACTAGATGTGCAAGAACAAACTTCTTACCCCATAATATTCCCACGTTATGTTCCCCTCTCCTGTTGAGGTACAACGGTCCTTGGCCCTTTTGTAGGTGGTCAAAAGGTTGTTGAGTTTTTTCCGGATTTTGTCTGAGGAGAAACTGTATCCCTCCTTGCTGAACTGCCGTTGTAGAATTTTGTAAAAACCGGGTTTGGAGTGATAGTACACCTGTTGGTGTGTTTTTGTCAGGTCCAAAAGCAGCAGTATGGTGTTGTGTGTGAAATCTGTTAAGACACAAGTGTTTGTAACTCAAACAAATAGCATTTGCTGTTTAGATCCTCATTTTAGTTACTGTACCTTGTGTTGCCTCAAGGTGTTCTGACCGGCTGGAGGGGGATGCCAGGTGAGGAGTGCCAGCTTGGGATCTAGCAGGCCTTACAGGAGCAGGCCTTTCATCAGGAGCAGGCCTTTCGTCAGGAGCAGGTCTTTCATCAGGAGCAGGCCTTTCGTCAGGAGCAGGTCTTTCATCAGGAGCAGGCCTTTCGTCAGGAGCAGGTCTTTCATCAGGAGCAGGCCTTTTGTCAGGAGCAGGTCTTTCATCAGGAGCAGGCCTTTCAGGAGCAGGCCTAGCATCTGAAGACAAATCTAAAGGGACTGTGATTGAGAGAAAATATTTGTTTACAATAAACATGAATATGTCATTTGTTTGATTTGCATTAAAAGACAATACCATTTTTGATTTAAATGATAGATTACCTTGTGCATTTGTTGCAGCCCTTGCTTGCTGCATAAGTGCAGCTGCTAAACTGTTATCTGAAAAATAATTTACATCATTTAAAATCATATCCAGATTGTTGGAATGCAATTTAGTTGTTTACTCACCATTTTGTAGTCTTTGGGAAATGTCTTGTGAGACTCTTACAGTGATGTCTCCCTGTTCGTCACACAGTGTAAGCACCACAAATTCCATTTTACCTACTGTAGACAAAGGTGATCTCCATTGCTTTATATAGGTTTGTTAATTCAGTCATGATGATGAACCACACCAGTGACTGGGTTCCATAATTAGAAATGCTCCTCCCTCTTAATGTTTGCAAAACTGATAGGTGGACAGGCTACAAATGATCAGTCCCTTCAGATCCGCACACATGAAGCTTAATGAGCATGAAATGAACAGACCTGCTGCTGTGTTAATTCTTTAGCTGCCACTTTAAGCTTTATGATGTGTACAACATGGATGTAATTTGATTTAATCTTGCCATTTTAAATTATGTATTCAATAAATAAGGTTAAACCAAATCATTACATTACAATATATTTTATTTTAATGATTTGGTTTAAGCAGTATGAACAGTGTGTATGAATATGCTAAGATATATAAAGTATGAAAACGGTAAGCAGTATAGTATAAAATATATAGATATTAATTTCAGGATGATAAACATTGTGGAACAATGATGAAAAATGGGAATGGATGTGGCGACGTAAAACTGACACAAAACAACAACAAACCTTTGCCAGCCAATTGGAGAGTTTCATCAGCAGCACGTGGTAAAAACCACCAATGAGCGCTCAGCTCGAGATACCAGCGAGCCGTTTCCCATCAAGCATTTCGCTTCCGCAGCCCGTGGAGAGCAACTGCGCCAACTCGCCTCGCCTCGCTCTCAAGGCTGCGGGCGTCTTTGTCCCGCGAAATTTCAACATCTCATGTAGGCGAGCCTCCAGAGCAAGTCGGACAAAATGACTAACCATCATGCAACGCACTAGCAAGACGTTGATCGCAACTGCGCAGGTCTGCGCAGGTCTTGCTTGTCTCAAACAAGCCTACTCTATATCCTTGATAGAATGCCCTGGCCGTTGCACTGAATGAGAGCGTACGTTTGGACTGACAGTTTGATCAACCAATCATATATTGATTTGTAGCCAATGGGCGTATTCTTTCAGAGTTTCCCTCGGTTCCAGGGTACTGCTAGTTAACTGGCTCGAGACAGAGGAGGCTTGTTTGAGACAAGCGAGACCTGCGCAGACCTGCGCAATTTCGATCAACGTCTTGCTCGTGCGTTGCATGATGGTTAGTCATTTTGTCCGACTTGCTCTGGAGGCTCGCCTACATGAGACGTTGAAATCTCGCGGAACAAAGACGCCCGCAGCCTTGAGAGCGAGGCGCGGCGAGGCGGCGCAGTTCCTCTCCACGGGCTGCGGAAGCGAAATGCTTGATGGGAAACGACTCGCTGGTATCTCGAGCTGAGCGCTCATTGGTGGTTTTTTTCCACGTGCTGGTGATGAAACTCTCCAATTGGCTGGGCAACATGTTGTTGTTGTTTTGTGTCAGTTTTAAGTCGCCACTTCCATTCACATTTTTCATCATTGTTCCACAATATTTATCATCATTAAATTAATATCCATATATTTTATACTATACTTGCACTGCTTACCGTTTTCATACTTTATATATCTTAGCATATTCATACACACTGTTCATACTGCTCTCAGGCTGCTGTGTATATATAGTGTATTCATACCCCTCACTGTTTATTCATCATTCAATTCATTCTATATTTCATTCTGTAGATTGTGTACATTACTTTTCACTTTACTGCTTGTTGCACCTGGTTAGAAGCTAAACTGCATTTCGTTGTCTCAGTACCTGTAATATGTGCAATAACAATAAAGTTGAATCTAATCTGGAGCAGGAACACATGTATTTACTTAGTATATATCTGACATTAACGATTAAACACATGTGTGCATTCTTTATAAATGCAAACCGAGTCAAGCCGACTCCGGAGGTGGCGGTATGCACCTTAAAGTTGTTTGCAATCCGCCAAAAAACCGAGAGAAGAAGAAGAAGACGAAGCCGACTCCGAGCATGGACTCCGAGCTGTCCGACTTCAGGCGAGCTTTTTGAGACCTCCCCCGGCTGCGATCGGTTATTCTCGTCTACTTACGTCTAGATGCGACGAAGCAATTCATGCCGTTTTATTGTTTTTAACGTTGAAATCAGTGCTTGAATTGGAATGAAAAAGGTGCCAGTACTCTAAAATCAGCAACTTTTTCAAGTCAATTTTATATATACAGCCCACAAACAAGAATTTGGCTACTATAATGCTGGTGGGTTTGTCTCTTTACTACTGTATATTTTAGAAAGGTTCACTGTACTTAACATTTGTTATGATAGGCAGCGGATATGGCTAAAGCTCAGTAAGGTCAATATTAACTGAAAATATAGCAATCAAAGTCTAGATCTTCTGCTGAAGACACATGAAGCAGAGACCTTTCAGGTGAGAGCCCCTCTGGTGGTGTTCAACATTAATGACAAGGAAACAAAGCTCTGGTCAGAAGCATTTTTTATAAAAAGCTTTAACAAAATTAAGTATTTCTGTACATTTTGAATGCAATCTAACTTTCCAACTCAGAAAACGAAAAACGAAAAAGTGCCAAAAGTCTTCTCACATGGCTGAGCTGCTTTGCAATATACTTCACCACTGAAGAATACAAATATGTATAAAGTAAACTATGATGCAATCTAACTTTCCAACTCAGAAAAATGATAAAGAGCATGAACAAAGAACATGTAAAAACAAATGCAGAATTTGCACAATCTAAAATGAGAAACTGCAACTGCAAGTAACAAAGTCTGAGCCATGGTAAAGAGTTACATTGAACACCAAGCTGATCAGATAACTCCCTGGTTGGTCTGAAGTCCTTCTATCTCCAGGATCTGTACAAATCGGCACATTATGCCAAAAGTCTTCTCACTGGGTGAGCTGCTTTGCAATATACTTCACATTGTTAGAAAAGGCTCCAGAAGGCCTTGGGGACATCAGTATCAGGGGCTGGAGCTGGACAGGCTCTTTCATCAGCACTTCTCCTTCCCTTTGCCAGCCAGGACCTCACATACTGTTCCGGATTGAACTGTCCTAGTGATGGTCCATTACATTTAATGAAAACCAGGCTGGACAGTCGGCTGACAGAGAGAGCATTCCTTTTTTCAGTAAGGATATCGTTCATGCAGCTGAATGCCCGCTCACACTCACTAGTGGAGACAGCGATGGTTCGGACTGCTTTCAGTAGAGGCTCCATGGCAGCAGGTGTACGGGATGCCCTGGTTTCCTTGTATTCGCGAAAGCCCTGAACAGTCTCTCTTCTGTCCACTTTCAGCACTTCGCACAAACGTAGCACCTCTACGTCCCCATACTGTACGTCTAACTCCTCTTCAGGCCAACTTTCAGGATGGATAACTTTCATGTCCTGGATTAGCTGATTGTTCCGGGCCTCCCGGCCATGTAATGGGATTTCTCTTGTGCTGACATGAGAGGAGGTTGTGGAAGTCATTCTGTGTCTCAGATTCTCTACCATACTGCGGAAAAACTGACCTGCATGAATCTGTACAAGCCTGCCATTCTCACGCAGGGCAACACCCTTGAAGGACTTCTCAGCTAGAGCTGTATGAACTGTAGTCATGTGTGGGCCAGGCATGGTGACCATGGATTCAAAAACTCGTATTTCTCGAGTTAAGAGCCTATCTGCTGTAGGCAGTGTCATCTCTCTTTTTTGGAGTTGCCGAGAGAGGTCGCTGAGCTCTGTGAGCGCATCGTATATCAGTCCCAGATTGCTGACAAACGTTGCAGATGTGAGCACATCATCCAGGCCCTTGTACTTTGCTCTGTCTCTGGAATCCCTGCTCGTGTCGTTTGCAGCATTTGTGAAGTGATCATGAAGCACTCGGTAGTTTTCCCAGACTGCTCTGACGCTCCTTTCACTTGAAGCCACCCAGCGGATGGACAAAAACACGCCCTATCACCAGGAGACGCTGTCCGACTGCTTGCGCACACTGCGCTAACTGCCTCTGATTTTTGGGGGAGGCATGGAACAAGGAATAGAGTTTGTCAAAAAAGATCTGGAAATGATTGAGCCCTGAGACCTCCTTGACCACATCCCCAACTGCCAGCTCTAGACGATGATTGGAGCAGTGCCACACAAACAGGCTTGGGAATTTACTACACAACTGGGTAGCAACGCCTGTTCTCTTCCCTAGCATGACTGAAGCCCCATCACATGCAAAAGAAACGAAACACTGACCTAAAAAGTCCTCGTTAAAATCTCTTCCAAGACACTCCATTAACGCCTTTGTGATGTCATCAGCCGTTGTTCCATCCAACTCGATCAGCTCCCAAAAAAACGTTTCGAGCTCAGCATCAGCTAATGCTGAGCGTAGACACACAACAAGCACCGTTTTACCACTAATAGTGGTAGATTCATCGACCAAAACACAGAGTTTTCTTTGGTTTTCTGTAATGTCTTTTGCCATTTTTTTCTTCAGCTCATGAGCTATGTGGTCGATGATTTCGCCACAGGTTTTATTGGAGTGCAAAACCCTGCCCACGTTCAGCCCATTCAGTTTCTGTACATTCAAATCAATTGGCATGTCTGTGAATGGCCGGCTATGTTTGCCAATTTTATATGCCGTTCTAAAAACTCTGATAGTGGTGTCTAATTCAGATTTATGCATAGACTGCACTTGATGTTGAATAGTTTCACGTGAAGCAGATGAAGGATGTCAGCAGCTTTTACATGGGCTTGTGATTCTTTATGTTCTTTGATTTTTTTTCTCAGGCTAGCTTGTTGTTTTCCCTTGTCAACACCGAAATGAGACACTGCACACTCACCCCATTCAGTTGACAGTTTCAGTCCTTGTCCAGTGTGTATTCCCAAAGATTTGACATCTCTGCATATCCGACATCCTAGCTTCTTATCTTTAAGAAGGAGCCATGCATTGGTCTTGCAAAAATATTGCACCTGGTCCGTTGTCCAGCAGTCAGGTGCATCGCTTTGCCCGGTGTTGGTGGTGGCAGTTGAGCCAGCAGCAGCTAACGTTAGAGGCTCTGGAGGAGGCGGCGGAGCTAGTGCTAATGCTAATGCACTAGAACTTGGAGCAGGAGGATCAACCAAAGAAAGCTCCCCTTCAGACACAATTTCCAACACAGGCACAGCATTCTCTGTATTTTAAGTTTCTTCCGGCGACAACCGCTGTCTTTTTGCACTTTTATTAATCCACGCTAACATTTTAGAAATGCTAATTTGTGACGTGACTTGCTTTCCTTCTCTCGGGGGCGTGCCTGCTCTGTTCTATCACTCTACATAGCCACCCACTGGGTGGGAGTTGCACTGCATAAACACAACACACGTGCATCTAGGTATGTAAATTGTAAAGCATTAAAACATGGTTTTACTAACAGTTTTCAGTATGTTGTTACTTCAGCATTATTATTATTATTATTATTATTTTGAAACGTGTATTACTATTAAATCACGGTCAAATAGGTTAATTTTGACATAGTCGTTTCCACCACAGTATTTACATGGAGAAGAT